GCAGGGCTGGATGAACACAGCAGGCCAAGCAGCTGCTCCTACGATGCTGCTTGGCCTGCTGTGTTCATCCAGCCCTGCACCTTGTTGTCTCTTATTACATATGTTTACTGGCACTTTTCCTTAAAATAACAAGCAGAAGTTATTTATTTACTTTATTGGTCCCACCTTTCGCTGTTGAGTAATTATGAACGAACGGCTGGATTAATTTATATAGTCCTCCCATCTTTTTGATGTTCACTCTTCATGCTAAGTGGTTTTTATCAAGAACGGATTAATAGAATTCCTGTGATAACTGTGAAATGGGAATATTTTTGAAGTACGACTACATAACAAAAGTAGAAAACGTTAAAATAATATGCTTAAACCACAGAATAATTTATTTTTGTGAGTTTAGAAAGATGTTAAGAGTTATAACATTGGCTGTATTGAATTACATATTGACATTTTATAGTAATACTTAATTTTGTCATTTTGCTCTACAAGCCCCATTTAATACATTGTGAAATCTGATTTTTTGTGCTATTATTTTAAATGAGTTATCATTATTTATATGGTTGCTGCCATAAAATATTTACTAAGATGCAAGCTGGTCAATATTCAGTAAATAACTGAAGGAAGCAATTTTAAGGTTGTATTATTGTAAACTTGAATCTTCTATTAATTAATGCAAGACAATTACTACTTGCACATGTTAATGACACAGCACATGATGTGGAGCTGTAAAATTGGTAAGTCTGCAGGATTTTTAACTTTTTGAAGACAATCTATTTCAAGCTGTTTGAGATAATGATGTAGATCCAGGGAGCCTAATTTTGGATTCAACTTGTATTAGTGCCTGATTTGTGCCACTTTTTCTGGAAATTCGTTGAATTGTTATGCAATATTGATATATTTTAGGTTTCTTCTCAGCTGCTTTTTTTGTATTTGGAGCTACCACTAAACAACAACTTTATCTGAGGCTTTATATTATATGTTGCCTTTTGCCATTGTGACACTGGTAGTATTCTTCCTTAGTTGCACTAATGGTTTAGGAAAATACCCACCAGCTAAGTGTCAAATGGAAAATCTTAAAAAAAAAAGGTAGAAGTGTGCGGTTTATGGCAATAAGATGATTCAACACAAATTAGGCTGCAGCTAGAGAATTGCATCCAGTTCTGGTCACCACACTTTAGGAAGGATATATTGAAAGGATGCAGTGTATACTTACCAGAAGAATCTGGAGCTTTTTGTAAGAAACTTTGTGGGTATGTTGACTGGACGTTTAATCGGTAAGTAAGTATTTAATGTGCTGATGTTTGTGGCTTTTTAGAAATAGAATAGTTTCAAAATAGATTTTCATCTCAAGCAGGATAGGCATCCCGGTTTGTGGTCTGTATTGTGTGCCCCAGACCATAATATGTGTATTGTCAAATTATAAATTTTATGGGAGTTGATACGAGTTTTTTTTTAATGTTTGCACATTTTGGGTCAAATTTTAAAATTCACTTCAACAGGATTAGATTTGTAACGTTGAACAATTTCCAGGATCAGGATGCTAGATTTGGTGTGATAATGTATAGGTTGGTTTCAAATCTAGTACTGTCTAATTTTGCACTTTGTTGATTTTGAGAATATTGCAGAACTCCTTTGATACTTGATCATAAAAATTACACGAGACCATTAAGGGAAAAATTAAGACCTGTTTGTTTATTAAATATAGTTCAATGTTATTTGCACTTCCAAACCAATGAGATCATATAATTTTAATGTACTTTTAAGGAAGCTATTGATGCAAAGCAGATATAAAAAGGCTTGTGTGTACTTGCAGTGCAACCTATTACTGATGTTTTGAAGTGTTTAATCATATAACGAGATCTTTTTGAGAACTTGAATTGGAAAACCTCTTAGGATCAAGTTGAAAGGCAGGTATCCTTAAGTAAATGGCAGCGTTTAACTTGACAATGGACCAATGTAATTCCATTCTGTATAATTCAAATTAGAACCTTTTGTCATGGATTTATATGCTGAATGCTGCATAAAACAACTAAGATGAATACCCCAATCCATACAATGTACATTTCCCCAGAGAAACATTAGTTTTAATGACTGTGTAAACCACCTAAAATGTAACAGATATTTTTAAATGACTGCCATCAGGTGTAATTGAAGTAAATACAATCAGTGAAAGAAAAGGACAAGCATTCAGATAGAATTAGTGTTTTCTGGTTAAAAGTAAATCCTTAGTTATTTGTTTCTGAAGTAGGTCACATTCACCTGATCAAAGCACCATCATAATTGCCATAAAAGAATGAAGATCCATGTACCATTAGATATTTCAGTTTATAGTAAAGCACATAATTCATGACATTTAATTACCTTCCTCAAACAATTTCAAAATCACATTTGACCTTTTTTCAGAACGAAAGGGTCATGCTGGACTTGAAATGTTAACACAGTTCCTCTGCACAGATGCTGCCACAGCTGAATTCCTGCAGCACTTGGTGTTTGTTTTAGATATCCAGCATCATAGTGTTTTGCTTGAAATAAAATCCCATTAGCTGTTTTTGCTTTGATGTTGAGTTTTGAGTGTTTGAAATCCCCTCAAAAAGATCAAGTGAACGTCAAGTCTGTGTTTTATTTCTCTTAGGATCTTTTTGACCCACAGACTGCTCTGTTGAGATATGTTTTAGAACAACCTTACTCCAGGGATATGGTCTGCAACATGCTAGGTCTGAACAAACAGGTACTGTATTTCCATGTATTTACTATGGACTTAACTTCTAAATATAGTCTGCACTGTTCTTTTTCTCTTTTCTGTTGCTATGGCTAAATAAGCAAATGCGTGTTCACCACAAGTAGCCAGATCATAAGTTAGCATTAGTTTGTCTTATGATGGATTTTATTTTTGAGCTACTTGAAATAGAGGGGGAAGAAGTTTTGAAGCCTTCTAGTTTGTATCACCTTGTGGATGGGAATGGTAAAATATTTAAATGCAGCATCTTGTGGAAAACTACTGTAGAGTTAATGTAAAGAAGTACATGATTTGAGTTTTATTTGAATTGCTTTAGCTATTAGGCCAGCCTCAAATATTAGAACTTGTGCATTTTGGTTTTTGCGGGGCTTGACCTGTCTGGGGCAACCTGAGGCTGGCCTCATAGTCACTGTTATGTCTTTCTTTTTTTCTTCCTTTATTTTTGTTCTGTCCTGTCTTGTCCTGCCCATCCTACAATGCTCTAGACCTTGAACATTGCTCAGGTATGTTTACAATCTTACTGTTGTATTGTGACTAACGAGATGCTGACTGCTTGGTAGCAACTGATGCCATTTAGAGAATAAAGTAGATCTGCATGCTGGTATACGTAGAGAATGCAGTGGTGTCTGTCGCTGTCTGCTACAGAATGTGTGATTGTTGCAATTCTTGCACCTAAGATTTTTATAGTCATCATCATGGAGAAGTTGTTTAGCAAATGTTCCGTTGTTGATCTGTGAAAAGTAGTTACACTGCCAATATAATGTAGAATCAACAGATGTTTTTAAAGTAGCTGTAGTTTTGTTAGGGTTTGTAAGGCATGCTTTCAAAGAAAGTACAATTTATTTTTTTCAGTTTCGTGATCACAAATGGAAAGCATGCTAATTTTATATGTAGGTAGTAATAGAATGTAGGTTCTGAAGAAATATGAAAAAAAACCTCTTACTAATTTGTTGACCAGAACACTTGTGGTTATGTTTCTTGTTGGCCAAAGTTGAGACATTGAAAATACAAAACAAAACTTGAGTTTTTGGACATGTAGATTTGGGAGAGGAGGGCAAATCGTTGCAGTGCTTGGCATCTTTTTTTTACGCTACATGCAAATTAGGTGCTTTCTGAAATATCTCATTGCAGTGTGTTTAGGTTAGCATTTCATGCTTTGTCAAGTTTCTTTTGCATAAATAGTCAACCTTGTGTATTTAATGTTCATTTCTGTAATAAGTGTCTACTTTACAGCACAAACAGCGCTGTCCAGTTTTGGAAGATCAGCTTGTGGATTTAGTGGTTTATGCTATGGAACGCTCTGAAACAGAAGAGAAGTTTGATGATGGAGGCACCAGTCAGTTATTGTGGCAACACCTCTCGAGTCAGCTCATTTTCTTTGTCTTATTTCAATTTGCTAGTTTTCCACACATGGTGTTATCACTTCATCAGAAGGTATGTTTGGGATACGGAAATGCCAAGTTATAAAAGTATACAATTTCAGATCGCCTTATTGCTCAGATTTTGCTCAATGACAGTATAAATTGAATTTATGCAGCATTTTGTCCACCTTGCAATTTGTATATTAGCAGGCTACAAATCCAGATGAAGAATTGTACCAAAATATATAGCCTTGACATATTCTTAACCTTGTTAAGAGGTGCAGCAAAATTTTAACTGTACAGTTTAGAATCAGTAAAGAAATAGTCATTTCCACATTTACAAGACTATGCATGGATGCCAATGGCAGAAAATAGTTCCAACTGCCATATTTAAATGCTATTATAACTTTGCATGATAAGAATAAAAGAGCTATTATAGGAAAAAAGGTCTGCACAAACAGAGCAATTTCAGATAGAGATAGATGAAGAAATGTCAGGGACTGCATTATATGCGGTACTGGATACCTAAGAAATAATAACGAATCTAATTGAATAGAGCATATATCATGGATCATTGAAAAATAAAAAGAAATTGAAGAGATTTGAGAGTATGTTGGGATAGCAACTATAATTCTGGGAAGATGTTTTAGGTCAGGATAAGACTAGCATTTGTATTCAAAAAGGAGAGGGTTTCTTAGAACATATCCAGAAACTGTTTTAAATCAGTGGGCCTGATCTTTATCTCTGTAAGTGAATGCATACTAAGTGAATTAAAATTTTGTTCAGTATGTTGAATATCCAACAAGAACAAAGACAATGTTTGATCTAGATCAAGTATTAAAGCATGAAGTGTAATTGACTTTATGGTGAAAGTTGGGAAACTAGTGATTAGAACTTATTAGATTTGCATTAGAGATTTCTAAAAAGTCCCACTAGGATGTGTTGGACTGAAAACCAATCTGTTCACTTTTTCACCAAAATAGAGTACTAACATTTGAGAAAGGTAGTTCAAAAAGTGAACAAGCAATGCCTGAGACGATTGCATGATGTTTGATTTATACGGTGAAATATCCTAAGTGGAGACAGAGGTCATGAGAATGCAACTGACCTTTACAAAAAGACATGAAGCCTCAAAAGACCTACTCTAGTCAGGTAGTGCAGATGAAACAAGTGAGAAATATGAAAGTTGTCAATGGAAAATAACAGGCAACAGGCAACAACGTAAAAGAAATACAGAAATATGATTTTTATGGACATGAGTCAAAAAGTAATTAATCAAGGCCTGTCTGTTTAGAGATGGAAAACATTTTGTATTTGAGAGGTGGTGACTGGCAGTGATTCACAAATATTTTGATCTACCTTTATAAGGGAACAGAAAAGTGAGATTGTCAAAGCACAATATAGAAGATACCACTATTTGAGCTAAATATTGAAGTGTATATATTATTTAAAATATTAGACTGAGATTACAAAAATCACTGATTAATGTTTGTAAAAATGTTGGAGTTTGGGAAGGAGTTAATGACGATGTTAACTAAATTTTACAGAAAGTCTTTGGAAACTGGAATTATGGCAAAGGATTGGAGTATTGTGAAAATAATATCTGTTCGAAAAGGGAAAGGATAAATAAGTCAGAAACCCATAAATTAATTATAGATTGACTTGCCAGTGAGCTATTGAGTCAAAGAGCAAGATAAAAGTAAAAGCGTGGGTTAAACAGAGACATTCGTTTTGGGTTTATAAAGGACAAGATGTGCTTAAGAAAGTTTACTTGTGAAGAAATTGCAGTATGAGGATTGCAGTACATCAAGCATGTAACTTCGGACAACACTGGGCATCACTGATAAAAGTTATTATGAAAATCAATGCCCTATGTGCAGTAATTGAGGGGAATAGGTTTTCTTGCATGGAAAGGTAAACTTGTTAACAGAGTGGGAAGAACATGTATCTGGGGTGGGGTACAGCTAGATCTTTAACATTAGTAGTTAGATTGTAAAAGGGGAGAGAAAATTCAAAAAGGTTTCATATGCGAGGTGCTGATTCCAAAAAAAAGCATGTGATGTTTTGCATAAACATGGAAGTGATGCAGTACAGTTTCTCTAACACACATGTAACCGGCAGCCTTATGATCTCTAACTTCTTTGTGGCTCAGTCTCCTCATGAGATTATTGTTCATATTCTGCCACTGAAGGGCAGCTCTAATTCCGCTTTTTCAGCAGGATTGCCTGAATTCATACTTGTGCACAAAACATAGAAAGCTAGCACATGGGCACAGCAGGTAATCAGGAATACTAATGAAATAATGGCCTACGTTTCAAGTTAGTGGGAATATACGAGTACAAAAGTCCCACTGCAGCTGTACAAGGTGGTGGTGAGACCGCATCTGGAGTACTCTAAGCAGTTTGGTCCCCTTATTTAAGGAAACAAATCATTTCATTGGAGGCAGTTCAGAGAAAGTTCACTAGGACGATCCCTAGTATGAAGGGATTGTCTTATGAGCAAAGATTGAACAGATTGGAATTGTACTCAGTTGAGTTTAGAAGAATGAGAGGTGATCTCATTGAAACATACAGGGTTCTTAAGGGTCTTGACAGGGTAAAAGCTGAGAGATGTTTTCCCTCATGGGAGAGTCTAGAACGAAGGGGCAACTCCTTGCCACAAGGAGCTGTGGGGGCAGAGTCCTTGTGTATATTTATGGCTGAGATAGATAAACGGATTCTTGATCATTCAAGATTTCAGAAATTATGGGGAAGGGGCAGGAAAGTGCACGTGGGGATATCAAATCAGCCATGATCCTATTGAATGGTGAAGCAGGCTTGAAGACCAAAAATGGCCTTCTCCTGTTCCAATTTCTATGCTCTTGATTGAACTCTCATCCCCACTCTCTTCCTTCATTTCTCGTATTTATTGGAGTTCTGTAATGTCTCTTGCTTTTATTTTCAAAATAAAACTTTGCTGTGGAAGTCCTCCTTTCCAGCTCAGAATTATTTGTTGTCTGTAATGCTAAGCAATCTTTTACAACTTTGTTGTCTTTATCTTATAGCTGGCAGGCCGAGGTCTAATAAAAGGACGGGACCATCTGATGTGGGTTTTGTTGCAATTCATCTCTGGGAGTATCCAAAAGAATGCATTAGCTGATTTCCTCCCAGTAATGAAGCTGTTTGATCTGCTGTACCCAGAGAAAGAAGTAGGATTTATGTATCAATTGAATCATGTTGCATATATTTAAATACAAAAGGAAGAGCATCTGCAGGTTCTAAAATGCTTATTATTTTTATTTTCCAGTGCATTCCTGTACCTGACATAAGCAAACCACAGTCTACTCATGCATTTGCCATGACTTGTATCTGGATTCATCTCAATAGGAAGGCACAAAATGATAACTCCAAACTGCAGATACCCATCCCTCATTCTCTCAAACTTCACCATGAGTAAGCTTTTTAAATGTAAAGGTTCAGTAGTAACATACTTTTTATTTGATCTGTGCATGACCGTTACATGTGATGTACATTATTCCAAATGATGTTGTGGGCAAGTGTAATTCTCTAGCAGTGCTGTTTCTGAGTGTCAGAAAAAGGAATAGAAATAAAATTAGTGTGAGATTTTTGTTCATTCTTAAGATTGTTAAATGTATGGCATTACCATTGGGACACACATTTGACTTTGTACCCTAAAAAATTTGTCTTTCAAAATTAAAGATGAGTAAACAGAAAACATTACCATATAAACTCGAGTAAAAGTCAATCTCATGTAAAAGTTGACCCCCTATTTTTGGCCAAAAAATCTTGAATTTTCCATGTATCTCATGTAAAAGTCAACCCTAGTTCTTCACCGATAATTCAGATTTTAAGGCAAGTGCTGGATGGTGTTCATTCTCATCTGTCAAAGAACCTTCTCAAAGTGTACCTTTAATCTGATGATGGGGATGAAAATTGGATTCAGCATTTCAAATTTCAAACATTATTATGTTAGTGAGCTGCAGGTGGAAATAAAGTGCTGTCATCCAGTCTCCCAGGTTTGGTGGGATTTTGTTTTCGACTCCAGGAAACTGTAGCATTTTAATAGTAGATTTCTTTTCATCGGGTTTCATTCCTTTATCAGAATTTCAGAAGAATGAACCCAGTAATTGTGAGAGCTCAAATCCACCAACTTACTGTTTCACTCAGGGTGACAGAGAGCTTTTGGACACGGGAGCAAATGGAAAAGATTCAGGGCTACTTTTTGAAAGAATAATCAGGTTTTAATTTACAGGGAGAATAATTGATCTGATTGTTCTTATCCGCTGACAATAGCGAACGCTCACATGAGCTGTGATGCTATGAGAGATTATGCCTCTCACAGCCCTGTTCATTCTTCGGTGCTGGATCACAGAAGTACCGGTAATTACCGTAATTTGTTGTGTTTATTTCTTTATTAATTTAGAGATCAATTGGGCTTCTGCTAATGATGTGGTATTTTGGACTGTAGCATGAGTTTCAGCTCCTCAAAAGTAGTACCCATGTAATAGTCGACTCCATAAATTTAACTTTTAAAAAAATAGCCTAAACAATTTGACTTTTACATGAGTATGTACAGTAATATGCTATAAAGAAGGTAAACCCCTTCTTTCATCACCATTCTTGAAGACAGAAAAATTATAGTAAATGTGTAATTAAAGAAAATATGTTTAGAAGACGTCTTATGAAAAACATCCTGTCACATTAGTAAAAATCACACGTGCATTTATTAATAATCAATGAAGCAAAATTAATAACTTTAATCATTTTTAATACAGATTTTTACAGCAAAGTTTAAGAAACAAGAGTCTACATATGAATGATTACAAGATTGCCTTGCTGTGTAATGCATATTCTACTAATTCTGAATGTTTTACATTACCTATGGGAGTATTGGTTGAAACAATATATGGGAATGGAAGCTTGAGGATATCCCTTCCTGGAACAAACTGCACAGCTTCAGGATCTATTACCCCACTACCAATGAACTTATTAGATTCACTGACAGTTCATGCCAAAATGAGGTAATTGCTTGAATTCAAATTTGCTGAACTACATAATGGCAGATTGATGTTTTTTGTGAACCTTTACTATTACTGTTATCAGTCACTTACCAAGTAAGTAATAAAGTGCCATACAGTCAAAGGAAAGAACACTTTTCAAAATAAAATTGCATCATTTGATTACTGGATTTATAGTATTGCACTAGGTTCAAATAAATATAAAATGCCAAAAGCACAAATAACTCTTCAGGCATAAATTGCAATAATGTCCTGTTGAGGGACTATTCGGGGCACCATATTTTTCCCTTTTAAAAAGTAATTTACTCTTACGGAGGCCCCAGCTAATTGGCCTGAGTAGCATTAATAGGTTTCTTTTTTTTTCGACTCAAAATGAGTTAATTTCGTTTTTAGATATCATAATACTACCTCTAAATTTGACAAGAATATTGCAGTATCCGGTATTATTTCCACACCATTCTGCTTTATTAGTATTAACTTCAGTTTGCACTGCAAGCTGAAAGTCCCAATTGCTTGTTTGAAGAAATATAGCTATAATGAATAAATGAAGCACACTAATGCTGTTCTATATTATATATTGTTCTAAATTGTAATGTTTCAACCTGTACTGATTTTAATATTCTGTGTTTCAGCCTCATTCACAGTATAGCTACAAGGGTGATCAAACTAGCCCATGCCAAATCAAGCCTAGCATTGGCCCCTGCTCTGGTAGAAACTTATAGCCGTCTCCTAGTTTATATGGAGATTGAATCTCTTGGAATTAAAGGTTTTATCAGTAAGTGTACTATTTCTGGATGGATCTGTGAAGAATTACCTTTCCCCAACTCAGATCTAATTTATGAAGGATATATTTCTGAAGACTAACTAATGTTTGAGTTGATAAGTTGTTATTTCAGAATTGTAGAGCTAAAGGAAAACCTCAGACCTGTGGAGTACTTGCCAGATTTCTAAAAGTTACTGATAAACTTTGCTTATTTGAATGATTTTCGATGTACCCTTTTAATAATAATGTTGGTTATTACATTCTAGGAATTGGTGGCACACAATAGTTTCACCACTGCAGTCTCCCATACCAAACTAATGGAAAAAGATCTTGTTTCTTGCTCTACATACTGACATTCTTCTGTCTTATAGGATGATGGTTTGCACCATGGCAGCCAGTTCTTTGTTTTGCAGTCCCTGGCATGACTCAGGAATCCCACTTTGGTGTGTTAGCCTCTGACACGTTTGCTGCAGAAGAAGACAGTAGGCTGAGAATATGTGTGATTCATTGGACTTTGTTTTCACTGGATCCACTTATCAGTTGAACTTGTCATTCTTCTTGCTCCTTCTAACTCCCTTTCAAAGAGTCACCCTGCAGAGAATTATGGTTGTCGGGGACTATCTCCCGATTGTCACTGTCAATTTCTTTCATCTTTATAGCTCACTTAGTATCCTTAGCAGAGGTATGGATGCCCAGGAGGTTGTGGCCAAGCTGCCAGTTCACCGTACAGAAGGTCTTTGGATGGACAGCTATCATTTATTCAGTGAATGTGACTGAACCAGCACAGGTGTCATTGGTTCAGCAACTAACGTAACTAGTTGGTATTGGTACACTCCAGATCACCCAAATCGGTAGTCTTGTCCTAGCGAGAGGTGCCAAAGATATGTCTGAGACAACGAAGAGGTAGCAGTTCAGTCTTTTTGCCAGCACAGCAAATATTTTGCAGAATTCTCCACTGTGGAGGAGTGCACTCTGGATGCAGGATTCTGAATCTCCCTTTGGGGTTCTCTGGTCAGAATGCTGATGTTCCATGAACTCATTCAGTTTGGACAAAACATCTACAGCTTTAGTGAGTTCCGACCGGAAATGTCAACTTTCGTGCTCCTCTAATGCTGCCTGGCCTGCTGTGCTCCTCCAGCTCCACACTGTGTTATCTACAGCTTTAGTCGTGGTTGTGTTGACTTCAGTATAAATAGTCAGATTACTGATGATTTTGGAGCTGGGGTATGTCAAACTATCAACAACCTCCAGCATCACGTTTTTATTGCCGATAGATGTTAGTTTAGCAACATCGTGGACAACAGCATTTATCATCCTTAAGATGATCAGATCAAACTCCATTAGTTGTGAACAACACCGTCTATTTGCTGTTGCGTAGAATTTGCTGTTGTACAGAATATGCAGCAACGATAGTGTAGAGTAACTCTATTGAGGACTTGGTCCACCTTTGTTCTTGGATGTCAGACAAGCAAGGCTGAAAAGCCTTCCATTAGTTCTTTATGTAACTAGGTGTCTTCTGTCGATGATCTGGAGGGATACAACAGCAACCAAGAAAAAAATGTAACGGTGTATCAGTCCAGAACATACCTGTTTGAACCCACTGCAAAGGTTCTGATCTTGTCCTTTTGTAGCTGATGTTATCCACCTATGATGTTGCAAATAAAGGAGGTCACATCGAGCGGCTTCAATGGGTAGTTTAAATAGATTACTTGTGCTCCTTGGTGAGATTGAAGGCTTTCCCAATAGCAGTAACCTTTTATTTTCTCTGGTTTCCAAACTGAGGAAATTGTGTTATTTGTGGATTTTCCGGTTCTAAAGCACACTGGGATCCTAGGTATTTCTATTTAGTTAGGATGTACAGTCTGACAAGAGCACCACATGTAAATACTTTACCTGCAGTTCCTTGCAGGGAGATTCCCCTCGTTGTTGCAATCATGGCAATTGCTTTTGTTCTTGTACAAGGTCACAATATTTCCACCTCACATTGACCCTTCCATTTTGTTCTGTTTGATGAGTTCAGGTGATACAACATGAGCACTTGGAGCTTTGCCCATGGCAAGTGAATCAGTACTCCTCTGCTGTAGGCTTGGTTTCCAGCTCGCTCTTTTATCTAGAGCTTCCTCTGTGACTCTGTTCTCCCTGGAGTGTAACTCTGTAACTATTGTCAATCAATACATTTATGGGTTTAGTCAGTCCATTCCGAAGCATTGCTAAAGATCAAGAGGCTGCAAGAGCAGTTCAAAATAAAAGTAAAATACTATACTGCAGATGCTTGAAAGCTGAAAACATTCAAAATGTTGAAAATACTCCAGTCTGGCCTGCATCTGAGGACAAGAGAAACCAAGATAATGCTTCAAATCTGTAACCTTTCTTCAGAATCACAGGATGCAAAGACTGGAAGTGTCATGCCAATGTCTTAGTTTTGTTTTGAGGGCAGGTTGATCTGTTTTGTTAAAAACAAATGAAAACCAGCTTTAAGTCTTTGATCTGATTAGTGAAATGTAGAAAAGGCTCCTCTCAGTACATTGAACTTAGATAATTTATGCTTAACTCTAACCCAGTTTGACAGAATTCAAACATAGAGTGAGTTCAAGATTGATTGCTTTCAGAAGTGTAGAGGTTTGGATTGGTCAAGTTTGAGGTCTTCATCCAAAATCAGGATAGCTATAGATATACTGAAGGTGCTTGATATAGGTAAAGTTCTCAAAATGAAATCTTGTTCTGTTTCCTAGAATTATAACTTGCTAAACATTAAAATGCAAGATTTTACTAGAGTTACCTGTTACAAAACACTATGCTTCTAAGGAGTAGGTTGTTAGATTAGTCTTATAATTAATTAATTATAATTAATTTTGCAACTAATAAAAATAAAATTTCCAAAGCACCATTCCGATTTTGAAAATTGTTGTCTTGTACTCAAACATGCTGCCTCTTGAGAAGGGATTTAGCTCTTACGCAATAAGACCTGAGAAAAGTTAGCATAAATTTTGTGACAAAGACTTAATCTTTTTTTAAATCTTTTTAGGCCAGCTTTTACCTAATGTTTTCAAATCACATGCTTGGGGAATCCTACACACATTGCTGGAGATGTTCAGCTATCGCATGCATCATATCCAGCCTCACTACAGAGTCCAGCTGTTAAGCCATCTCCATTCACTGGCAGCCGTACCACAGACTAATCAGAACCAACTTCACTTGTGGTAAGCTGTTTTTAATCTTTCATGTACGAATCTGGCTTGCTGCTTCAAAGCTGTATGATTTTTAACTGGAGCAGTAGTGTAGTAAAGTTGAGAATCTTGCAAACCTTTAAAATATGCCTACAATTTGCTGAACTTTGAATAGTATGAGTTGCTGGTGTTCAGTTAGTTCAATTAGCTGGATGGCTGGTTTTCAAAGCAGTATAAAATTCCCATACTGACTGAGATGCCATGAAAGATTCTGCTTCTCAAACTCTCCCCTTGCCTGGTCTGTGATGATCCTTGGGTTAAACAACCACTAGTCATCCATCTCTAATGAGAGAACAGCCATCTGATCTGGTAAGACTGATGACGTTATGGGTGGTTGGCTAGCTGAGTTGGCTGAACAGCTAATTCATGATGCAGTGTTCAATTCCTGCACCGACTGAGGTTGCCATGAAAGACTCTCCTTCTCAACTTCGCCCCTCACCAGAAGCATGATGACCCTCTAATGAGAGAGCAGCCCAATGTTCTAGTAAGACAAAGGTGACTTACCTTTTTAGTGTAAGTTACAGCATAGAAGAAGACCTTTGGAAATGGAACCTTATCAAAACTACCTTCTGGGATGGAGCTATGCTAATTCCACATTGCCTTTACACAGATACCGTATTCTGTACACAGTGTTTCAGAAGCTGATACAGTTTGCTTTCAAATTATGTAACATCAGCCTCAGTAGTCACTTGTGGTTAATTGTTCCAAATTTGAATGATTTAGAAACTTTGCCTCTTCTGGATTATTATGATTCCATGCCAGATTGTTACCAACTACCCAATCAGTGGAAACAACCTTTTTGCTATTTATTTGCAAAACGATCTATCATAATTTTGAAATCCTTATTAAATCTTACAAACAAAAATCAGGTAAGAGGATGAAAGCTTTCTAATTCTTAAAATGTTTCTAAATGCACTGAACAAAGTGCAGGTTTCTCATTATCAAATCATACTTAGTATGTTTTCTCTGGATCCCTGATGTAGTGGAAATATTTGAAGTGTCAAAATGAAATATGATTTCACATTTTCATTATGAACTTTATAATTGTAACACTCTAGGCCTGTATTCTGCAGTTAATTGAATAATAGTTTTATTTAAAAGAAATATTCCTGATAAAGTTGATAAAGGCAAACATGGAAATAATGTACATAAGCTGTCGTTTTTTGATTTTTAAATAAATTGTGATTACTTAATACTTCGAAATGAAAGGAACCTTTGGTTGTTATTTCCATTTTAACATATCACCTAATATTTTGAGGGGACTGTTTTCTTAAAAAGAGTGAAAATTTAAGGCTAAGTAGGGAATTTGTTTGGCTACTTACCTTTGCACAACAGTAATGATCTTGTTCCTAAAACCGTGGGTTCATATCTTACTTTGCAGTGTCCCGTGTGGCACCTTGTCAAAGGCCTTCTAGAAATCCAAAGAGATATTCCACTGGCTCTCCTTTGTGTAATTTGCTCATTTCAACAAACATTGTCAACAAACTCCCCTTAACAATGCCATGCAAACTCAGCCTGATTTTTACCATGCACATTGTGATCTCATGTTTAATGTACTGTAAACTCTTACCAACAGCCAAGATCAGACTAACTGGCCTACAATTTCCCATCTCCTGCCTCCATCCTTCCTTAAACAGGGGTATTTCATTAGAAAAGTTCTGTGCATCTTGGTCTTTAAATAAAAACCCCTGTTCCCTCATTCTAGGCTCTTCCACAAGAGCAAGACAAAGGACATCCCCTCAGAATCCGCCAAGACCCCTCATATTCTTGTTTATCTCAATAAGCTCATCTTTCATTCTTCTATGAAACTTCAAAGGAATGGGACCCAGCCAGTCTAACCTATCCTCCTAGAATGATTTTACCCCACACTCCCAAAAGAAATCCCAAATAACATTCAATAATACATAATGGCTTTTTAAAAATTATACTACATGCAAAGGTTGTTCCCCTCAATACTGTGAAGAGAAATGGAAGTGAAGGGTATGAGCAGGATTACACAAAATAAAATCCAAAATACCCTGAAACGTTGTATTTATTATTGTTATGCAGTCAAATATGGCAGCCAAGTTAGTTCTCACAAATACGAAGTGCCCAGTTATTTTGGTTTACTAATTCAGAGGTTTAAATGTTGGATAGAACTTTGGGAGACCTCTCTGTTCTTTAACTAGCTCCAAGGAATCATTTTATATCAACCTGATCATGATGCTGTTTTAATTCTGCCTCACCTCTGATAATGAGCCAGTACTGCAAGAAGATATCAGGTTTGATGCCCAAATATTGGAAAAGGGTTTGTTCCCCTGACTTGATTTGGAGGCACGAGTTCCACCACTGAGCTAAACTGGTTAATTTAGCGTTGAATGAAACTGCAGAGTCAAGGTAGAGCGGAAAAATAGGAAGATTGAAATTCTAGAATGGACTTGAACACAGCAGATGCCAACCTACAGTAATTGGTCTTTCATTAATCTATTTTTAGCTCAATTCTTCAGTATTCCTAATGAAGCCACACAGTTCTCACAGGTGCAGTGTTAAAGCTAATTCTCAATGTAATTCGAAGCAAGGTCATCGAGTTTATCCTAGTCTTTAGTATTGGGTGCAGCAGTAGGTGATGGTGCTAATGGTGATCAAATATTTTTGTTCATACACTGCAACACAGATGTTGGATCACTCGTGTGACCTTTGTACTCTTGTGACTAATTTTCCTGGACTTTGTAATAATTCTACTATTAAACTTTGGAAAAGGCGTGAGTATGGAACTAGAAATTTTATGCTAACTTGGTAATTATCTTTTATTTGACCATTTAGTGTTGAAAGCACAGCACTCCGGCTGATCACCGCTTTGGGGAGTTCAGAGGTCCAGCCCCAATTTACGCGGTTTCTCAGTGACCCCAAAACAGTTCTTTCTGCTGAATCTGAGGAACTTAACAGAGCCCTAATTCTAACTCTAGCTAGAGCAACCCACGTAACTGGTAAATATTAATGTGAAAATTAAATAATATTACAACTGTTGTGCTTTGATCCACATTTAGAATGTGCTCATTTTTTGTCAAATATCCTATAATCATATTAATTAACCAGCAGAGTATTACTTTGTTTCTAGAATTCTCACATTTGTGTTGAGAAATGAGCAACACTGGCAAGGTTGCTTTTTTTCCACTCGGTGCTAGGTGCCTTGAGATTATGGTGGAACTCCTTGAGCTATTGTATTGCATTATTAAATAATAATGACCGAACCATTTTGAAAGGAATCAAGAGTCAGACTTTGAAGAATGTGGACTGAGGTACAGATCAAATTGGAAAGGGTTGACAGGCAATTTTCATCGAGGAATGTTAATTAAGCAGTTAGGATTTTATAGAAATCAGCATAAGCATTTTTTTCTGTGCTGCAAGCATAGATTGAGGTGTATTGAACTCATTCTACAATGACACGTTGTGAAATTTAGGGCTTCTGCCCCTACCTACTACAGTACTAAAGTGATTGTGACTTCTGGGTTGCTAGTCAAGTATCAACTAAAGGTGTGGCACTTTAAAACATTGTTTAAAACATTGTCTAAAATACGATACAATTCAATACAGCACAGGAGAAGGCCCTTGGGCCCACCAAGCCTGCGCCAATTCGCCTCCTGTTCATGTATCTATCAAGATACTCTTAAACATTGCTAACATGCCTGCTTCCACCACCTCAACTAGTAGTGCATTCCAGGCACCCACCACCCTGTGTGAAAAATTTTCCCTGCACTTCTCCCTTAAACTTTCCCCTTCTCACTTTGAACCTTTGCCATCTTGTAGTTGACCTTTCCACCCTGGAAAAAAGCCTATGACTATCCACCCTATCTATGCCTTTCATAATTTAATAGGCCTCTATTAGGTTGCTTCTTTTGATGCAAGGATTTGGAAAGAAGGCTTTGGTGAGGCAACTCCTTGAGTAATGTGTGCATTTTTGGTTTCCATATTTTAAGGAAGGATATCTACATTGGAACCAGTGCAGTAAATTTTTGCTAGATTGATTCCTGGAATGAGGGCGTGGCCTATGATGACACATTGAGTAATCTGAGTAGGACCTATACTGTCTGGAGTTTAGATGAATGAAGAATAATCTCATTGAACATGCAAGATTCTAAATTGGCTTGACAGGGTAGACGCCAAGTTTCTCCTGACAGGGAAACTCAGGTTGTGGGAACACAGCCTCAAGATAAGTGGACAATCAATTTACACTGAGATGAGATTTAGAAGGTTATGAATTTTTGGAATTACACGTTTTAGTGAGTTGTGGATGCTTCATTGTAAAGTTTACTTAGGGCTGAGATGGGCAGATGTCTAGGGAAATTAAGGGGTATGGGGAGCAAATGGAAAAGTTGTGTTGCCAGAGAAGGCAAGCTGTGATAGTTAGAAATTGTGAAACAGGCTCAAGAAGAGGTATGGTTGCTCCTGTATTTTATGTTATTTTTTAATGCTTGTACCCTACAATGCTACACTGTGCTAAGATTTGTCTTATCCTCTAACATTTATCTTTTCTTGTTTTAAAAAAAGACTTTTTCACAGGCTCAGAATCTATACAAGGGACCTGGTGCAAAGACATCCTTCAGACAATCATGGTTTTCACTCCTCACAATTGGGCTTCACACACACTCAGCTGTTTTCCAGCTCCATTACAGGCAAGATGAACTTTTGTTTGTATTCTGAATTACCTTAGTGGTGAATATTAACGCGCATGCGTAAAAGATACATGAGCTCATGGCCTCCAGCAACAGAAATCTTAATCTTAAATGCATTCTTTTGTTTCTGTGAATCATGCTAGGCAAATATTAATGTATCATTATCCACTATTTAGCCAATTTTCTATTGCGCCAATTGTATTCCAATGAGCTCCAGTGATGTTCTTTCAGGGTAGATACCAATTTATTGCAAATTTCTTAATTCTCTTCACACTCATCTCCATCAAAGACAGCTGCTAAATGTAAGCCTAAAGTGCTTGTATGAGATATCTACAATTGTACTGCAGGATAAACAATGCTTTATTTTACCGGTTGAATGTGTGCCAGAAATAGAACCTAGCCTCTGTGTATTTCAAATAGCTCCAAACTGAAAGGGGATCATAGCATCAGACCTTAGGGCTCAGATTAAATGCTTAAAATCTGCATTCTTGGTAAAATTAATGCAAAAATAAAATAGTAAATTACAATAAACTGTTGACATTCAGTAAGTTAATGACGTATTCTGTTACAAATGTTTAAAATGTGAGCTTTCTTGAAGTTTTATTTCTAAACACAGTCTCTCAATAGACAGCTTTATAATTAATGAACTTTGCCAAACCTCCATTTGTACTCATCCCATGATATAAATGGAAACCCATGAGCACCAACTTGGTTTATGCCTTTGTTTAATTAATGTCAAAATATGTCTAATTTCTATCCAATCTTATCCTAAAGAGATTTAAATTATTCACTTTTCCCAATTATTCATTAGATCCCCATTTTGTCCCTGCTCTGCACTGCAGGAATAAATTCAAAGGAATTTCCAGAATGGTCAGCCATTCTGGAATAAATTCAGCCAACTCCAACTCTTAAATCTTACAACATTTACTTTGAATAAATTCAGACTCTAGTCTGGAATTTGTGTTCGGCTTGTAATTAAGCCATTAAAGAAAATTTTCTTTTAATTTAATCTCCAACCAGGTAGCATGCATATTTGTTCAATACACAATTTATCAGCTACAAAAAGAGAATAAACCCTTTCAACAAGAGTCACCAATAACATTTTCAGTTGTAACATTACTAAACCTAAATACAAATACCTGTAAGAATAGAATTTTATGAATTCAGCCCTGGTCAATTCATATGACATTCTTTATGACCGTTTTAAATATGGGACTGTTTACTTCCAACGTCCGTCTTTTCATTGGTATATGTCATCTGATCATCAGACTTGAGCAGTAGCTTTATGCCTGTTTCTGTATCATGGAATAGTAAAAACTGTTCATTTCAACAAGTTTTGGAGAAATTATTGAATATGAGAGAGTTTGAGTTTTCCTGAAAAGTGACACTTTCTCAAAGGTTTTTGTCCTCCGCTTGTCAGACCATTCACTTAAATACCAATGTCACGAGGTGCAACGTTTTATATTGTATAAAAAAGGAATGCTGATTTGTTTGTTTGGCAATGGACTCTGATTTTTGGAGGTTGTTTGGAGAATACACCTGTTAGATGATCGACAGTTCAATGCCTGTTTTTGTAAAAGCTGTCAGAATCAAAGAAATTTGCAAATGTTGTTGAATCGTCCCGAAATGACGAGGCATTGCTGGGCATTAAAGGATCATTGCTTACTAACGGTCCCAGCAAACAGCCCCCTTCATTTTGGTAAATCTCTTAATTGTCACTGGAGTGATTCATGTTGGAACTGCCCAAGGCAATCAATCACTGCTCTTGCTGGACATCAAGTCCCAAACTGTGACAGTGACTGAAAATTTAGCCAAAGAGATGAATTTAAAGATGAGTCTTTGAGGAACAAATAGATGGAAGGTTTTAGAGACAATCGTGATTTCAAAAGGAAATTTGACTTCCTCTCAAAAGAGAAAAACTTGCAAGGCTGCAAGGAGAGAGGGGGAAATAGGACCCACTGCTTTGTTCTACTGACACTGTTATAGATAGTATGGACTCAGTAGCCTCCCTCTGTACCATAATAACTTTATAACTCAGAAAATTGCAGTGCATAAGGCATGGACGGTTAGTGTTGGGGCAAAATGAAAGTGAAGCCTGTCAAGGGCCAAAGTCAGGAAGAGAATCTGTTATAGACATAGGGCAAAATGGGGAGGGGATGATCAGTGAAGGAATTTAGGAGACAAAGAGAATTTAAAATTTGAGTTGCTGTGGAGTTAGGAACTGAAAAGTTGAATGAATTGCATTTGATCAAGAATGGGATAAGAACAGCAGAGGTTTGGATCAGTTGAGGATGACAAAGAATGACAGGTTGACCAAGAAAACATTGAAGTCTGGAGATAATATAAATTACGGTTTGAGCAGCAGATGGCTTAAATAAAGTGCAGAGATGGGAAACATTTCTCATCTGGAATTGGTTGTGATGGAGAGGATGGAGTTGAGCAGAATGTGAAGATTGCATCTTGTATGGCTGAACCTTCGGTTGCCCTCGATGGTGACAATGAGGGATCTTCTTGAATTGCTGCAGTCATTGGAACATCAGGATACCCACATGTTGGGAAGAGAACTTAAGGATTTTAACCCAGAAACAGTGAAGGAATGTCAATATAGTTCCAAATCTGTGAGATTTTGAGGGGAACTTGCAGGTGGTGTTCCTGTTATCCTTGGCCTTCTAGGTGGAAGAGTCCATGGATTTGGAAGGTCCTACCTGTTATACCTACAGATGGAAATCAAGTTCTGCTAGTCATGGCGCATACACAAAATTAACGATTTTAAAAACTATGTAAAATTCTCCAATTTACCTATGCCAGGTTGAAACAGGCCAGGTTTCTGCACTTAAAAAAAAACACCAATTATTACAAATAAATAGATTGTAACTACAGATGAACAATTAAGAATGGTCAATATATAACTGTACTAGTTAAAGCTAGTTAAAGTTAAATATCCCCCTCTACATACATGTACAGATATAAGAGAAACATGGGTGTTGAGTGGAGGAAAGACTGAGAAGGTGGATCAGTGGTTCCTGTCAACACAGTTGACCGAGATGATCCATTTGCAGATCAGAATGCTGTTTCTTAATCGTTCTTTTCCAGATGCTTTTATTTGTTTGCAGGAGGCAGACTGTGACCAGTTCACACTTTAGAAAGTCTCAGCTTACAGCAATTAATATGGGGAAGTAAACTGGCTGTCTTCAGGTTTGAGGTGCTTTTTATTGCAGAACTGAAACACAGCTCCTCCCCTTCCTGAAATCCGTTTCATTCTGGCCAAACATTGTTCAGCTACTTGGGAGCAAATCATGCAGTTGTTGGCAGGCAGGAGTCCTTTCTCATCAATAACTGGTGACCAGTACACAGACCAATTTTCCATTTTTTGCCAATCAAATCTCCGTACGTACATACACCCCTGTTCCATACATGAGTGTTCCTCATTGCTTGAAACGACATCTGTGCAAACAGCACTTGCAATGGGTGTCAGATAACTTGCTTTTGTAAAGTGTAGTGATCCTTCAGCAATCTTTACCTTTCAAAGCAACCTTTTTCACATTTCAGTCTAGAGTCAAAAATTCAGAAAAATAGTGATGTGCCCTTTACACTGGCAAAGGGGCCTTGTTGAGTGACTGCAGTGCATCCTTTAAAAGGTACAAACTGCTGCCGTTGTGGATTGATGGTTAAGGGATGAAATGTTGAAGGCGGTGATTATGGTGTCAATCAACCAACCTGCTTTTGGCCTGGATGGTGTCAAGCTTCAAGTGCTGTTGAAGCTGCACTTATCCAAACAAGTGGAGAATATTCCATCATACTCGAGACTTGTGCCTTTGGTGATGGTAGACATGCAGTGGGAAGAGTTACTTATTGCAGAATTCTCCGTTTCTGACCTACCCTTGTAACCACAATAGTTATATGGATGCTCCAATTTAGTTTCTGAATAATAGTGATCCACAGGATGCTGATATTGATGGATTCAGCGACAGTAATAACATTGAGCATCAAGGGGTAACATTTAGATTCTCCCTATTGGGGATGGTTATTGCTTGCCACTTGTGTGGCATGCATCTTACTTGCTTTTTGGCCACCTAAACCTTCTGTATCTGAACAATCGCAAACGGTGCTGAACGCAATGCAATCAAAGTGAACATCCCCAACTATGACCTTATGATGGAGGGAAGGTAATTGAGGAAGCAGCTGAAGATGATGTTCTGAGGACACTGCCCCAAGTATCTCCTGTAGTCATGTCCTGGCCAAAACAATTGATGTCTAACAACATCAACCATCTTCCTTTGTGCTTTTGCTCAGTCTGCTTAATTTATTTGCTCTGTTGAATTATGCCTTTATGTCGAGGATAGCCACAGTAACCTCATCTGTGAAGTTCTTTTATCCATGTTTAGGTGAAGGCTGTGATGAGATAAGGAGCGCAGTGGCCCTGATGGCATCCAAACTGAGTGTCGGTGACTAGATTATTCCTTTACCAGTGTCACTTGTTAGCATTGCCAGTGACTCCCTCCATTTTGCTGATGATCGTGCCTTCATTGCTCAGTCTTTTGAGTATAGAAGTTGGGAAGTCATGTTGAGGTTGTACAGGACATTGGTGAGGCCTCTTCTGGAACGTGGTGTCCATTTCTCGTCACCCAGTTATAGGAACAATGTCATTAAGCTGGAGAGGGTTTAGAAGCGATTTACCAGGACCTTGCCGGGTATGGGAGGTTTAAGTTAAAGAGAAAGGCTGGATAGGCTGGGACTGTTTTTTGTTGGAGTGTAGGAAGTTGAAAGGCAACCTTATAGAAGGTTATAAAATAATGAGGAGTATAGATAGAGTTAATGGCAGTTGTCTTTTCTCTAGGATGGGGGATTTCAAGACTAGAGATCACATTTTTAAGGTGAGAGGAGAGACATTTTAAAAAAGACACGAGGGGCAATTTTTTTACACAGGGTGGTTCGCATGTGGAATGAACTTCTGAGGAAGTGATGGATGCAGGTACAATTACTTCTAAAAAACATTTGGATAAGTACAT